TACCCCAGTGCGACCCTACCTAGGAATTGGAGCATTTAGGAAAGCAACATCTACATCTAAACCGACAGCTACATTTACATCTACACCTGCATCTACATCTACATCAACATCAACAGCGAGACTCACATCTACATCTACATCTACACCTACATCTACATCTACACCTACATCTACATCTACATCTACATCTACATCTACATCTACATGTACATCTACATCTACATCTACATCTACATCTACATCTACATCTACATCTACATCTACATCTACATCTACATCTACATCTACATCTACATCTACATCTACATCTACATCTACATCTACATCTACATCTACATCTACATCTACATCTACATCTACATCTACATCTACATCTACATCTACATCTACATCTACATCTACATCTACATCTACATCTACATCTACATCTACATCTACATCTACATCTACATCTACATCTACATCTACATCTACATCTACATCTACATCTACATCTACATCTACATCATCTACATCTACATCTACATCTACATCTACATCTACATCTACATCTACATCTACATCTACATCTACATCTACATCTACATCTACATCTACATCTACATCTACATCTACATCTACATCTACATCTACATCTACATCTACATCTACATCTACATCTACATCTACATCTACATCTACATCTACATATCTACAGCTACATCTACATCTACATCTACATCTACATCTACATCTACATCTACATCTACATCTACATCTACATACTACATCTACATCTACATCTACATCTACATCTACATCTACATCTACATCTACATCTACATCTACATCTACATCTACATCTACACCTACACTACTACACCTACACCTACACCTACACCTACACCTACACCTACACCTACACCTACACCTACACCTACACCTACACCTACACCTACACCTACACCTACACCTACACTTACACTTACACTTACTACACCTACACCTACACCCACACCTACACCTACACCTACACCTACACCTACACCTACACCTACACCTACACCTACACCTACACCTACACGTACATCTACATCTACACCTACACCTACATCTACATCTACATCTACATGTACACTTTTGCATTGGTTTTGCTTTTGCTTTGCATTGCCTTTGCTTTTGCTCTTGCCTTTGCTTTTGCCTTTGCCTTTGCTTTTGCTTTTGCTTTTGCTGTTGCTTTTGCTTTGCTTTTGTTTTTGCTTTTGCTTGATGTTGTTTTTGCTTTGCCTGGTCACAGACACACACGCATGTTTTCGCATTCGCTCACCAGGTGTGCTTGAGAATGCTCCGTATCCGGTCTACACCGGTAAGGTAAGGTAAGCCAATGTAAGGTAAGCTAAGGTAAGCTTTGCTAAGCTAAGCTAAACTAAGCTAAGCTAGGCTAGGCTAAGCTAAGCTAAGCTGAATTAAGCTAAGCCAAACTATACAAAGCAAAGCTAAGCTAAGATGAGATAAGCTAAGCTAAGCTAAGCTAAGCTAAGCTAAGCTAGGCTAGGCATAACTAAGCTAAGCTAAGCTACGCTAAGATGAGATGAGATAAGCTAAGCGAAGCTAAGCTAAGCTAAGCTAACCTTAGCTAAGCTAAGCTGGGTGAACCCAGGGGGCGCAACTGGGGGAACCGCGGGGCGGATACCGGGGGAACCGCCCGGGGCGGTTAGCACTGTGCCCAGCCCCTTTAAGAAAGAGAGTAAGAACCCTCTAGGCAGAGCCTAGGTAGGGAATTTTCGCCCCAACGCACCCCATGATGGGTCCGGGGGTTGGTTTGTGACACTGGTGGCCAGACCCTTGGCGTCGTGAACAAAATAATGACTGCGTTTTTGTGTTTGAATTGTCATTTCTAAAGTTGCAGATCTTCCCTGCTCAGTGTACATGCTGCTTTTTCGACTAACGTGCTCCTCCTGGGGGCCCGCTCCTTGTTCTTTAGCAGGGCAAGTCTTGGTCCTCAAAATGAATTGTTGGCTCCTGGTTAACAACAGCAACGGCTCCCGCCTGATACTTCCTCACACTTTATTTCCAAAATCGCGCTCTCGCGCGGGACTTACTCGAAATTTGCAGCGGAATCGCGTTCTCGCGTCACTTTGCTGTATCGCCGTGCCCCCAAGACTCTGGAATCACGCTCCCGCTACGATTTCCTCACGATATATTTGGGAATCACGCTATCACTCGAATCTTTCTTGCGATTCATGTTGGATTGACGCTCCAGCGACTCGCTCGCTCGACCTGGCCGTCTGGGCCCGCCTTTCCGACCTGCCCGTTAGGGTCCGCCCGCCCGACCCGCCCGTCCTTGGATCTGCCGCTTGTACTCCTGTTCCTAACCCTCCTCCTGCAAGTTTCTATTTTGCTCCATCCTTCTCCCTCCCCCTTGTCTCTTCTCTCCTCCCTTCTTCCCCTATTTTAGTGGCTGCGCCAAGTACACGTGGCAGGTAAGGAAGATATACCCCAAAGGGGGGTACGATCGAAGACGAACAGGGCGGGTATCGAGGGTTTGGAGTATACGTGTGGAATCGCAAGCGTGCAGATAAGAGTGAGCAGTGTAACAATAATTGTTGAATTCCCATCTTGCGAAACATATTTTTGATTCCCCTTGTGGTGACCATTGTGTTTTTCAATTGGGGTGCTCCTCCCGGGGCTCGGACCATTTTTTGTTTGTTTGTTCTTGTGACTTTCTTTTGTTCTCTTAAAGCATCAGGGGAAGTCTTCGTGCTCAAACTGCGATGTTGGGCCCCGAACTACAACAACGGCTCTCGCCTGATAGTTCCTCACAGTTCATTCCAAAGTCGAGCTGTCGCGCAGGACTTCCTCACAATGTATGCAGGAATCGCGCTCTCGCGTGGGACTCCCTCGCAATTTCTTCAGACGTCGCGCCCTCGACACCGCTTCAGCAACCCGCCTTCTCGATCTGGCCGCCTGGGTCCGCCTTCCTGACCCGCAGGCCAGGGTCTGACGCCCGATCTGTCCGTCTGGTTCCGCCACGTGTTTTCTGCTCATAGCCCCCCTCCTGCTAATTTCCCTCGAGCTCCATCCTTCTCCCTCCCCCTTCCATCCGTCCCCTCTTCCCCTGTTCTCGAGGCTGCGCTGAATGCGTGTGGCAGGTAAGGAAGATATACCCCTAAGTGGGTACGATCGACAACGAAGGGGGCGGGTACAGAGGGTTTGAGATAGACGTGTTGAATGGCTCACGAGCAGAAAAAAAACGACACGTCATACACACGATTGTTGTTGTGGTTGTCGTTGTAAGTGTTGTTGTTGCTGTTGTTTTTGCTGTTATTGTTGTGGTTGTTGTTGTTGTCGTTGTCGTTGCTTTTTTTTTGTTGTTGTTGTTTGTGGTGGTGTTGTTGTTGTGGTTGTTGTTGTTGTTGTTGTTGTTGCTGTTGTTGTTTTTAGTGTTGTTGTTGTCGCTGCTGCTGCTGTTGCTGTTGTTGTTGTTGTTGCCGTCGTCGTCGTCGTCTCCGTCGTCGTCGTCGTTGTTGTTGTTGTTGTTGTTGTTGTTGTTGTTGTTGTTGTTGTTGTTGTTGTTGTTGTTGCTATTGTTATTGTTATCGTTATTGTTATTGTTTGTGTGGTTGTCGTTGTTGAACTCTCATTTCTGAAGAATAATTATTGTTGATCCCCCCCGTCCGGTGCACATTGTTTTTTTCGATTGAAGTGTCCTTCCGGGGGTTCGCACCCTGTTTTGTATCAGGGAAAGTCTTGAGGGTCAAAGTATGTCGTTGGCCCCCGGTTTACAACAACAACGGCTCCCGCCCGAGACTTCCTCACAATTTAGCCAGGACCCGCCTGAGAGTTCCTCGCGTTCTATTCAGGAATCGCGTTCTCGCTCGGGACTTCCTTCGATTTTTTTCCCCCGGCGCTCTGGAGTCGCGCTCTCGCTGGAGATTTGCTTGCAATTTACTGAAGAATAGTGCCCTTGCGTTGGAATTTCTTGCAATTTACTCAAGCGCCGCGCTCCCGACACCCAGGCACCCAGGAGTCGCGCTCACGCTGATACTTCCTCACAGGTTACATAAGAATCGGGATCTCGCTGCCCTTCGTGGCCCCGTTGCGGCCCTTCGTGGCCCCCTCGCTTTGTTTCGTGGCCCCGTTGCAGCCCTTCGTGGCCCACTCGCTGCCCTTCGTGGCCCCGTTGCAGCCCCGCGTGGCCTCCTCGCTGTCCTTCGTGGCCCCGTTGCAGCCCCTCGTGGCCTCCTCGCTGCCCTTCGTGGCCCCGTTGCAGCCCTTCGTGGCCCCCTCGCTTTGTTTCGTGGCCCCGTTGCAGCCCTTCGTGGCCTCCTCACAGCTCTTCGTGGCCCCCTCGCTGCCCTTCGTGGCCCCGTTGCATCCCTTCGTGGCCACCTCGCTGCCCTTCGTGACCCCCGCTCGTTCGCGCCCGTGGTGGCCCCATATGCATCTGTCCTACGTGGCCCAGTTGCTACCCTCAATGGCCCCATCGTTGCCTTCTGTGGCCCCGCATTATCTGCCCTTCGTGGCCCCCGCTCGTTTGCGCTCTTCGTGGCCCCATACGCATTCCCTTCGTGTCCCCGCTGTTGCCCTTCGTGGCCTACTTCGTGTCCTGTCGTTCCCTTTCGCTCTCGCTTTCCCTCGTCGTCGTCGTCGCCGTCGTCGTCGTTGTCGCCGTCGTCGTCGACGTCGTCGTCGTCGTCGTGGTCGGTCCCCTGTCCGTCCCTCTTGGGGTCGGGTCGACGGTCCGCGGCCGCCCCGCCGATCAGCGCTGCCGCTGGCCAGGCCGACGGTCCGCGGCCGCCCCGCCGCTTGCCGGGGCCCGGCCTGCAGGGAAGAAAGGTATACCCCCCAAAAGGGGTTCGATCGAAGACGAAGAGGGCGGGTATCGAGGGTTTGGGAAATAGGCG